TAGAGATTTTTTTTAAAAAAATCCCTAGGTTTCTTACGACAGTATCTTGTATAAATTCCTTTTTGGTGGCTTAAAAAGTTCTGCTCATTTATGGGTTACTAACTAGTTAAACACAGAAAGTAAGGAGTATAGATAAATGAGTAGCTCCCAGTGGAGAAAAGTAAGAAGCGGGGTCACTCAAGAATCCATGTTAGGGCCAATGCTTTTAACATGTTCATTAATTATCTTGATTTATCTTGTTGAGTGGCTATGTTGCATGTGCCAAAATATTCAGGGAATGAAAGCCAAATGTGATTATGAAGAACTTCAGAAGAATCACTGTACAGATGGGTCCTGAATTTATGACTGGTCACTTAAGAACTGTTTGAAGTTATGACTGACCTCCCAAGAGCTACTTATAACTCGTTGGTGAAGTTACAATGAGCACACCTGGGAACACACTCATGATCACATTACCCTAGTTTGGAAGCTTGGCAACTAGTTCACTTTTACAGCTGTTTGCAGGATCCCGTGCTTACAGGATCACAATTTGCGATATTTTTTGACACTTTCTTGCAATTATTTCTGGTTTCCAGCAAAATTTCCCACCCATTTGGGAAAATGAATTTGCTTAACAACCATAGGGTTCACTTAATGAGCACTGTGTTCACTTAACAACTGTGGTGTTCCCTTACCAATAAACTGGTGATTGGTTAACCAAATGGCAAATGCAGTTCAGGTTAAGTTAGATGTTTATGCAGAAAAAGCACTAATTTCATAGTTAATAGTGTCAGGAAGATATCAACTCAGTGTGTGTGTGTGTGTGTGTGTGTGTGTGTGTGTGTGTGTGTGTGTGTAACTAATATATATATAATAATATTAAAAATCAAAGAATAACAATTCCTGGGTACATACATTTTGATAAAAGAGGTGATCACCAGGAGATAAAACAACACGGTTTAATAAATAAAACCAAGCTTTTGATGGCTAGGAAACTGCCATCATCGTCAGGGTATAGACCAGCCAGTTAAGAGACCTGCTTATAAACCTAGCCGCGCCTGCATTCTACACATAGACCTCGTAACAGGTCCCAGCCGGTTGATTCTTACTTCACTTACAGTACTGGATAGCTCCTTCTTGCTTACATCCACGTAACCACCCACCTCCCCTTTCTCTTTGGTTCTTAAGTCATAAAAGCATCGTTTGTTTCCCGAAATTAAAGTCTCCTCCACGCTGTCAAGATGTTTCTTCTTCCTGTATTCCTTGGGGCATTTCTCTCTTTCCCTCCCCCAGCGCATATTATGCTCATTTGCATTTGTGTTATCGGGAATTTCGGGAAACAAACGATGCTTTTATGACTTAAGAACCAAAGAGAAAGGGGAGGTGGGTGGTTACGTGGATGTAAGCAGTAAGGAGCTATCCAGTTCTGTAAGTGAAGTAAGAATCAACTGGCTGGGACCTGTTATGAGGTCTATGCGTAGAATGCAGGCGCGGCTAGGTTTATAAGCAGGTCTCTTAACTGGCTGGTCTATACCCTGACGATGATGGCAGTTTCCTAGCATCAAAAGCTTGGTTTTATTTATTAAACCGTGTTGTTTTATCTCCTGGTGATCGCCTCTTTTATCTATCTATCCATCTATCTATCAATCCATCTATCTATCTATCTATATAAATTTAAATATATATAATTTAGATCCGTCTGTCCATCTTTGGAATACTTTGTACAGTTCTGGTTGCCACTTTTGAAAAGGGATTTTATAACTTTGGAAAAAGTGCAGAAGAGGGTGACTAAATGATCAAGGACTTCAAACATCTCCCTAATTTAAAAGGGGGGAAAGATACTTTGGAGACTTTTAACTTTTAAAAAGGCTACTGAAGAAATATTTAAAATCCATGCATAGCAGGCAGAGACAGAAGTTCTCCCTCTCTCCAAACATTAAGACCAAGGTTTATTCAATGAAATGATCAGAAAATTCACAATGTTGTACTCAAAGGAAAATTCTTTGTAGTATAATACATAATTACAGGTAGTTCTCAAATTAGAACCAGTACTCGCATTAACTCCCATCACAGCATCCCTGCGATCACATGATCAAAATTCAGGTGCTTATCAACTGGCATGTATTTATGATGATTGCAGCATCACAGGTCACCTGGTCACCGTGTGTGACACCTTCCCAGCTGGCTTCCAATAAACAAAGTCAATGTTTCTTATAATATTATTATATCAATTAGTGATTATGTGCATCACTATAAATTTGACCCTTATTAAAGTTGAGGAGGAAAAAGTGACGTTTCTAGAAGAGCTGAATGTCAGGTAATAGAAAGGATTCATGACCAACATTGTGAAGAACCACCACAGAATTAGGCAAATCTAGACTAGATGAAAGAATATAGCAAATATAAATTAACATCCAGGATCTTATGTAGGAGAAATGAGTTTAGTGCATGGCCCATAACATTTTAGGGAAGCCTCTGTCCTCTTTCACAGATTGGTGAGTGGTTTCTAGGTCTCTTGGGAACCAGCTAGACTGTATTCTCCTCAAAGAAACGGCACACGTTTTTGCCTCTTTCCTGTTTAAGTAAATGTCAGCTAGATGTAGAGAACTGCCTACATTCAACAAAGCAAAAGACATGTCTGTGCAGGGGAAAATCAAATTGATTCACTGCTCTGAATCCCTCGTTGGAGTCACTGCCTCCACTTGGCCCATGGGGAGGAGGCTTCCAATTAAAGCAGACGTGTTGTTTATTGGTCTGCCTTTTATCAGTGATTTCAAGGTGGTTTACAAAAGTCAAAACAGGTAAAACAGCAATAAATACAAACAATGAGGAAGAAACTGCACAGTTACAAGATAAAAGGGCAATGGTTGCCCATTAATTTGGCAGAAAAGAAGACAGAACAGATGCAAAGAGTTTAGCGAGGATAATGTTTGGAACCAGAAAAAGGAAAGGAGTCAACAAGGAAGAAAAGGAAAGGGACGAGCAAAGAAATATGTGGTTATTTAAACTTTACTGTACTTGAGAATAAAGATGAAGAGTCTGAACTCAGTGCCCACTGTGCCCCCTACCTTATTCTTTTGGGATCTGTGGGATCCTCCACAATCCCCCAGCCCAGATTGTCACAATTTGGCAGCTAACATTTTTATTACTGCTGTAGTTGCTGTTAACTACTAGCCACTGCTACCACCACTACTGCAGCTGCTACATCTGTTTCAGCTGCAGTAATTAATGAAATGCGAGTATTAATCCTACAGCAGGCATAGAGCATCTCTTTTTTTAAAATAAAATAAAATAAAATTTGGGCAGGGTGTAAGAAATTTGGCCTCATTTCCTCTAGCAATATGGTAAGATGGGCAGCCAATAAATTTTATATATAAATAAATATCACTGTCACTTGTAGCCAATAGCCTGCGGTAGCCATTTAAAAACAGTTAAGAAAGTATAGCTACCCATCGCCATTGCCACTTCTAGATTAAAGAGGATGTTTTTGGCACTTTATTCAAGTGATCCAGATATTTTTCCCACAAATCCAATACAGACTGGCTAATAATAATTTAGCAGGTTACAGATGTTAGGTGGACCAGATACTAGGCTACAAATATACAAACAATCCAAATATATAAAGCAACATACATTGGTTTTCTGCTTTTTTTTCTGCCCAATAACTTTGTGTAACAGGATAAGTTAAACTGTAAGTACAACAAGCAACTTTCATTTTTTTCAGCAGGGATAGCAATAGCAATTAGACTTATATATCATTTCACAGTGCTTTGCAGCCCTCTCTAAGCAGTTTACAGAGTCAGCATATTGCCCCCAACGATCTGGGTCCTCATTTTACCGACCTCGGAAGGATGTGAATCTGAGTCAACTTTGAGCTGGTCAGGATCAAACTCCTAGCAGTGGGCAAAGTTAGCCTGCAATACTGCATTTTAACCACTGTGCCACCACAGCTCTTGCTGTGGATGTAAGATAAATAGCACTCATCCTATCCAGATCCAGCAGCGCAACCACTATACCCAGTTGTTCTTTAATTTGAGAATGACATTGGAGGAAGAAGGAAAGTGTTTTGGGCAAATCCCTCTATATTTTCAGTGCAGGTGAAGATCAAAGAATTAGTCACCCCAAGGCCACACTAGTGGAAAAATGAAGGAGAGGAGCAGGACACTGTGCCTGTCAGAAGATCCATTGGTATTGGTGCAACCTTAGACCAAGCCTTCTGGTGTCTACACATGACACCAAAAGAAACACTAAGTGCTTTTGCAGGAGCAGGATAGCAGTACAATCACAGCTGAAATGGACTCTGAATGATGATAAAGAAGTTTAAACTAAAAGAGGCAGAGAAATAATATCAGCTGAATATGCAAGATGGTGCATATTTTCATTTTGGTCATCACCTTTAAAGCCCTGCATGGCACATGGTCTACCTGTGGGACAGCCGTTCCCTAAAGAGATCCCATCCTATCAAGTGAGGAAAATGGGTATGTTTCTGGTTCCTTCCTGCAAATGTTGTCACCTAATGCTAACTACAAAGTATGCCCTGTCTTATGGAATATCTTGCCCGCCTGAAATTCAGCAATGTTGGAAAGTAAATCATGCCGTCATTAAGCAAATCCAGTTCCACCCTTTCAGTCTTAAAGATCTGGCTTTTCCCCCAAGCATTGGGAGATTAGATGATGGTATGTTAGCATGGATTGGTGCTAAGATTTTTGTTGTTTTGAATGTTTTATGCTTTAACCAATTGTGTTTTATGGTTTTAAAAAAGATTTTTTTTGGTATGGATTTTTTTAATCTTTGATTGGGAGTCACCAAGAGTTGGCTGGAAGATAAGCAATTATATCAATACTTAAAATAAATAAATAAGATGTTATTGATACTATGTGCATCTTTTCTAAAGCAGTTACGCATTTTTAAGCATCTTTTATTTTCTAAGACATTGACTGATGGGGGGGGTCATTTGAAAATGTTCAATTTCCATCAGTACCAGCCCATCACTTACTACATCGTGTTGTTTTTCTTTTCAGACTCAAATTAGTCCCAAAGAAGGGTGGCAGGTTTATAGTTCCGCGCAAGACCCAGATGGACGATGCATTTGTACTGTGGTTGCACCAGAACAAAACTTATGCTCCAGGGATGCTAAGAGCAGGCAGTTAAGGCAACTGCTTGAGAAGGTGAGCATATGCATTGTGTTCCTTTGATTCCCCATGCTGGCTGGGGAATTCTGGGAGCTGAAGTCCATATATCTTAAAGTTGTCATGGTTGAGAAACTTTGATTTAAAGAGAACACAGATTATGGTACAAGAGACTTGGTGCAAAATATTTTCCTCCCCTTTTTTGAGAAGTCAACTTTTCTTTTCTTCCTAAACTGCAGCAACACTATTCTAAGGGCACACGTTGCACTTTCAGTGTATTTTCCATCTCAGAGTATTGGGATATTGGTTCTAAAAATATCATCCAGGGCTGATTTGCAAGCCTGAAGCTGCAGTCAGTCCATTCTCAAATTAAGGTATTTATGGAGATTTGTTTCCCTCACTAACTCTGTCTCTCCATTACATAAATAATGTGTTTTCAATTTTAAAAAGTTTCCCTTAACCACTTTCTCCATGTAATAATCAGCCGCACTACAATAAACACTTTCTAGAATATATAAGATAATAAGTCAAAAATGATTATGCACCAAGTTTGCCATTAATTTCTGGGAAATGAGAATGTATGTCTGCAGTGCTTTCAGTCTCCCTAATAAGTATTTATAAGAAAATATTTCTGTAAGCAGCAAAAAAGCATTTACAGACAAAAGCAAAGAAAGGAATCTGTATACATTCTGGTTCATTGATGTAATTTATTTTGTTATGTTGTCCTGAAAACAGAAATTACTGGGAATGGGACAATAAAGAATCTAATGATGATTAGGCAAGTTTAACTTTAGTAATCTAAAATAAAATGATAATGTTCAAAGCAGTATAGTTGCAGTAAATTCCATGAAATAAATCTTAGTACGGAATAAGAAATTAATTCATTAAATCCTTATGGACTCATTCAGGGTCCAATTACTCACCTGCTTTTTAGAATTATAACGTGTATCGTATCAGAAGTTCCCTGAAATATCCAGAATGTAATGGACATTAAGAGTCCATAAATCTAGATTATAAAGTCTAGAATCTAAAATCGTAGGCTAATAAGAAAGTCTACAATTGGAGCCCTTCAATTAATGATATAAAAACCAGACAAGCAGTGTTATTGAGAGCATTGCTGTATTGTATACAGATTCCTTCAGTTTGAGAAAGCCTAATTTTAATTGGCAAGGGCATCCTGAAAATAACCCCTAAAATTACCCAAAGAATCCTGCCAGAACTTTTGGGAGAATAATTTCAGTTAGATATAAAGTAGCTGTGGCTATCCTATAGTACTCTATTTGTTGCATCTCTGGATGATTCATTGACCTGGCCTTGCTGAATTCCAATCAGCCCTCACAGTCTTTGGTGTCTTTTGTCATTAACCATTCTTGACACAGATAGTATTACATTCCCATCTCCTGGCTACATTGTTCTGATTCTTTCTTACTAACAAGTCCAACAAGGTGTTAAAGCAGTGGAGTGATCCAGCAAAGCAATTGCTGAGCAATATGAATGAATTGTAATGCCTGACTATAAAAGCAAAGATGGATCAGACCCCATTAGTAATTGGACAAGAGGCTTTTGTAAGAAAATGTCCAGGGCTGGCAAACAAACAAATAAAATAAATAAGTAAAATCCCAGAAGGAAGCAGTAGCAAACCAGTTCCATACTGTTGACAGTGAGAAAGACATGGTCATGAAGTCACCAAGAGTCGAGCTTGACTCAGATGTTACCTTTATGACACTTTGCGTCAGCAAGGGCTGGGGACCAACAAAACAATTTTATAGTTAGTCTTTCTGCATTCCTCATCCCCTATTACAGTCTTAGTTCTGACTGAGGATTCAGTAACATGACTTTCTCCACCCAAACAATGTTGAGAAAAAGCTGTTAGCTTATCCTCACCATCCAGATCATAGAGGTGATTTTGGAGAGTCAGAAGCTTCGGGGAGGAATAAGCATGTTCCATCAGGTCCCCTGAATTGCCCTCTTCTCTTTGATTAGTAGTCTCAGAAGGAGATATTAATGGCTTCAGGGTGAAAGAAGAACATTCCCATCAATTTGAGCCAACTCATTGGAGAGTTGGTGTGACTGGGTAGAACAGAAAACTCACTTATGCCTCTCTATAGTCAGTAAACACATAGTCATACTTTTATACAAATAGTCACTGTGTGGATATTTGTGCAACAGAAGCTAACAGAAACCATCTGCCTGTCACTCCATGATTTTTATGCTTTCCCTTCAGATTTGCACCTAACCTCCATTCTCTCCACTTTTGAGAGAGCAATTAAAACATATCTCTTCAGCCAGGATTTTAGTGGTTAAATTATTTTAACATTACTCTATTTTAATATTTTGCTTTATCCTGTTTGTGTCTTTTCAAATTCCATTAGCTACTTAGGTATGAACCAATGCATAAGGTCTGCATTGAATAATTCATTGAAAAGAAATAAATAATTGTGCTTACTCATAAATGCTAAACTCCTTGAGTTCTTGGTATTCCAATCAAACTGGGCTTCCAGTGATTTCATGGCAGTTTTCTTGACAAGTGCATGTAAGTGGTTTACCACTATCATCTTCCCAAGAGTCCTTCAACATCCAGTCCTGCTATTTCAAGGTACTCTCCTTTTGAGTACTAAGGAGGCCTACCCATGAAGTTACTGAGGCCAGACAAGCTTAGCCAGATGTGCAAGCTTTTGTCATTATCACCTTTTTTTCTACAACAAGGTTAGGCAACTAAACTTTTGTAAAATTCTTGTAATTAAAAATAAGAAATGGGAAACTGGTCAGCCTTTAGAATCTTTATTTACAGTAATGCTTCTGGTTCTCGCCCAGGGCAACAGGCATTGTTAAATACTGGCCATGCATTGCACATTTTGTAACATGTTTCTCCATTTTTTTTAAAAAAAAAAAGTGGCATCCCTGTTTATATTATTATTTCAAAGGTCATTGTCTTATTGACCTATGCCTGCAGAAAATCCAAGTGTTCAATTCTCTACTCAGTTCAACCGTTACCTGGAATACAACCCAAGACACTCTTTTATTTCAATCTGCTGAATAGGCTCAAGCTATTAAACTCCATCAATTGTTTTCAGGAATGATAACACAATACATGCCAGGCTTGCACTTGCTGCATATAAATGGTTTTTTTTCCCGTTTCTCAATAACTCCCTAAATTTTATGACTCCAACTGCAGAAACCAAATGAGTAAACTACTATTCCTTGGAGATGGTGGGGGTGGGCTGGGGAATGAAGTTAAGTTGCTAAAAGAGAGCAATTGTTTGTTTTATCATCAAAAGCATCAACAATCAAGCTATGTTTGCTATAAAATAGTCACTGGTTTCTCCCTGAAATAACACCTTGGCTCAAAGATTTCAATATGCATTTGCTTGTAAGTGTTTGTTTCACGGGCTCTTTAGAAATCCTCAGTAATGAAGAAGGAGAAATGGAAATGGGAAAATGATGATGAATCCCTAAGAGAACTCTAGTAAATGATTTTCCCGGAAATCAAGGCCTCCTCTAGTTTTAGTCTTCCTGTAGTATTGATTTTTAAAATACTTCAGCCCCTTTTGTCTAGATCAGAGTTCCTCAATCTTTTCCGACTTTGCAGATCAGCCAGGGGGAGGGGGGATAGTTCCGTGTGAGCAACATGCAAGCACATGCACAGCTTCATTTGCGCAATCGGCACACACGTGCACCCACTACACACGCAAATGGAGCGTGCATGTGTGCGCTTGCCCACTGCTCACACAAGTGGAGATGCACGCGCTCCCCCGCCACTTCTGCGGCCCAGTTCCAAGCATCTCAAGGCCCGGTAATGAGTCGTGGCCCGTGGGTTGGGGACCCCTGGTCTAGGCAACAGATCATTCAAATCTCCATCAAGTTCCTCTTCATTACTCTTCACATCCATTTTCTGTCTCCAGTGTTGCAAAAGAATGATCAGCTTCCAACCTGGTTAATTTCTTGCTAAAGATAAAGACTCCTTCAACTCTTGAAGAAATCCTTGAATGTTGTTTTCTTGGCAATAATATAGTAATAGTTTGCCATCACTGCCATCACTACCTTCTGAGATTTTCTTGAGAGAAATGAGATGTGTGTGTGTGTGTGTGTATGCTCTCCCATCCAAGTGCTAATGAGCTTAAGCTTTCCAAGATCAATCAAAATTAGCTAGATGCTGCCACTTGCCTGGACAGATGATCTACCGGAGGGCATTCTTTTGTCACAAGCAGCAGGCTGTTTTCTGACAGCCCTAAATAGGCAATCCGATAGAGCTCCCTTTCCACTGAGTGGCCTACTGCCAGGTTCTATTGCAAAAGACCCTAGTCATTTCCTATGTGATGAAGATGGACAGTCATATTGCATCACAGTGGACTGTAATTGCTCTTATTGCTTGCCTCTTAGCATTTGCTCAGGTAAAGGTGCATTAATTAGTAACTCACAGTGATATTTCTTCAAGGTCACCTTGTCCAAATTTGTCAACTGTGTGCTTTAATACAGCAATCTCCAACCTTTCCGTCTTTCTGGAAGGCTGGTGGGGGAGCAGAGACGGTTCCACACGAGTAGTGGTCAAGTGCACACGCACAGCTCCATTTGCACAAGCACAAACAGTTGGGCATGCATGCTCCCTCGCTGCTTCGGTGGCCCGGTTCTGAATGGGCCACAGCCCGGGGGGTTGGGGACCCCTGCTTTAATACATTTGTTGCACTTAACCAACTCCTCTGGAGTAAAACGGATGATTTCAAGATTAATCACAGCCTTTGTTTTGGTGATCTGTTATTAGAGCATAAGACCTCCAGTTATTCTGGGATATGTTAAAATCCTGAGGTCTCCTCCTCCCTCCCCTCCCATTGCAGTAGAGAAGATGTGATTGAGGGACTAACATCACATACAAAGAAAAACAAAGGCAGAGAAAGCAAAGTTTTTGGCTAGACTGTGCCAGACCTCAAGCTAACAAATCACAATATGAGAGCTCTCCAAGATAATTTCAGCTCTAAAACTGACAGAACATCTCTCAGTAGGTTGCATAATGAGTCCACGTAGCTGCAAACATTTTCTGAACA